ATTCAGTTTATTTATTCATGATGTATAAATCTCAATTTAAAAAAAATTGACCCTTATGACTGGTTTTGTGGTCCAGGGTCACAAATGTAAAATATCAAATTTTTGACAGATTATGTCATGATTTTAAGTTTTATCTCAATTATGACTTAGTATGTCATCATTTCTACTTTTTATCTCATAATTATGACAAAAAGCATGAAATGTAGAAATTATGACATACTAAGTCATTTTTATCTCATAATCATGACTTAGTATGTCAGAATTTTTACATTTTATGGAAGCTTTTTTTGTGTCTACATTTTGTAGGTTATAATGAGAGGATCTGCAAGTGAGCTTGGATTGAGCTTGCATTGAAAACAACCTCTGATTGGCCATTGCTTGGGCTCAATGTGTTCAACCAACACATCTATGATGGGTTACAATGCTCAATGCTGTGAAGAAAAAAAAAAAAAAAACCTTTGACCCAACTTGAATAAATCTAAATAGAATATTATAATCCACTTTCTTCATGTGGCAGCCATAATCATAATCACGATTATGTATTGATTAATTGTGTCCTAACAGAATGTAAAATATGTAAATAATAGTGAGCCCAGTGTCAGATAGCAGATGAAAACATACAGAAAAGAGAACAAGTACAGTAGCCAAATAATGAGTGCAGAAATAAGAGCATACTGTCCATATCAGCATACAATCATCACCTGCTGTAGTATATTGGAGATTAAATGTAGGTTTTTCTCTATGTCCAGCATGTGTGCATCCTAATAAAGATCAAACAGAGGCACAAGACAAAGAAAGAAATAAGAAATAAAGAAGAGCTTTAGAGAAATAGGTTAAGCAGATTAAATAAAAGCATGTTAGTTGCAAGCAACTAAGGTTACTTCAGCCTGTAGTGTTTAGTATAGTATACTGTAGTTAGTTGTTACCTTGTAGATCTCCTCCGGTAACAAATACTCCTCCTGACCAGATGGGGCGCTGTGTTGAATTGTGGGGTCCCTCTGTTCCTCCCTGTTTTCAGTCAAGTCACCTTGACTATTGCCGTCCTTCTCTTGAACTCTCTCTTCTGATGATTTGCTGCATTGTTTGTCTTCTGTCTCCTCAGTATCTTCAGTGTTGCTCTTTAGTGCCACAACTTCATTGATCTTGCCCTCTTCCTTCATTTCTTTTTCCTGCACCACCTTCGATTTTCCACCAACAAAGCATCCCTTAGATATTGTGTTGTCATCCGTTTCCTGTTCAGTTATATTCTCATCCTCTTCCATCATCTCATGTTTCTCTCCCTCACTTCTCTCTCTGTCTAAAAATACCCCCTCACTAGTGTAAGCTTCTATGTGTTCTTCCATATCATCCAAAGCCTTCACTACAGTATTGATGATCCTATCAAATTCCATCTTTCCATCTTCACTTATCAATCTACTCAAAGCCAGTTCACAGGATAACACCTCCTGCTCCTCAATGTGATCAACCGTCTCTGTATTCTCAGCTCTGCTCTGCTGACCTTTAACTGCGCTTCCACTATCTTTTATTTCTGCATTTTTCTCTTCAGTCTGAACTTCTCCCTTGTTCTTTGTCTCTTCAGTTCTCTCTCTAACTATCTCATTTTGTGCATCTGGCTCATCAAGTGTCTGTTTTTGGCTCACAGAGCTAATTTCTTCTGACATTTGGGTCTCACCCGTGTCATTTTGCTCACTAACGCCCTGCTTTGCCACAGTGTCCTTTTGCCTTTTCTCTGATCTTCCTTCTTCTGCTTTTTCAACCATCTCTACATAGTTTTGGGTTTTCTTGTCATATTGTATCACTTTGTTTCCATCTGTCCTGTCATCTACCCCCAGCACCTCAGTTCTTATTGACTGATTTATACCCTTGGTTTCAGTTTGATACTCACACCTGTCCAGTTGATCTTCAGTGGAAGAGAGTAGCGTCTCACTGACCTGACTGGTCAACTCTCTCAGTTTGGAAGTCAGATCATCTTCTTTCAACATCTCAGTTGATCTCACTTGATTTGTGGATTCAATTCCATCTGATCTTTCTTTTGAATCACCCTCAATCGTCAATGCAGCATCTCCCACTTTTTCTTTTGTTTCACTTTCTTTATTCCCCATTTGATACTCCAACCTGTCCAGTTCATCCTCAGTGGAAGAAAGTTGTGTTTCTCTGACTTGACTGGTCAGTTCTTTCAGTTTGGTAGTCAACTCCTGATCTAAAGATCCAACTACGCCAAGGGCCCCATGATTGGAATTGCTGGGAGCATTGAGACCAAGTCCAAATGGATCAGGGGTCATGGCTCCAGAGCTCAAGATGTCAGGAGTAGCAGTGTCTGAAGTGTCTGCTTCCAGATAATGATCACATGGTCTTTTTCCATGCAAGTCTGAGTCTTGTTTCACATAGCGTCTCTTCACCAGAGCATCTGAGAGATGGCTACTGGAATCCTGCCAAAAAAGAATCAGAGTCATTAAATGTCAAAAATAAATGAATAAACAATTTTTATATCCACACATTATTGTTCAAAATTTTTGGGTCAGAAAGTTTTAAATAAATGAATTTTTTTTTCAGCAAGGATGAATTAAATTGATGAAAAAGACAGCAAAGGTTTTTGCATTGTTAGAAAAAATTAATTTTTTTAAATAAATGCTGTTCTTTTAAACTTTCTATTCATCAAAGAATCCCAAATGTTTCAAGGTTTCTGCAAAAATATTAAGCAGTAAAACTGTTTTTAACTGTTTTTATTTTATTAGAATTATTTCTGAAAGATCATGTTACACTTAAAGGGGTCATATGATGCTGCTAAAAAGAACATTATTTTGTGTATTTGGTGTAATGAAATCTGTTTATGCGGTTTAAAGTTAAAAAAATCAAGCAAAGTAGTTTCGCTTTCACAACGAAACACACAGCTCTTCACGACATGGCAGCGGCAACAATACTACAGCGAGAATAAAAGTTGCGCCTTCTTTCTTTGCGTGAACATTTGGGCGGCGTTATGCAAATCTTCCCACATAGTGACGTAGACATGTGGGGGCGTGTTAGAACGAGTCGTTTTAGGTAGGCGTGGTTAACTCTTCACTTTTATAAAGAATATCTCTTTGGATTTGAGACTTTAGTCTTTGCAACTTTACAGATCTTCTTTATGCACCAAGAGCTTGTAACACTGCAAAGAGAAAGGAAAAATTGAAATCGCATCATATGACCCCTTTAAGACTGTGGCTGGTAAAATTCAGATTTGCCATCACAGGTATAAATTGCACTTTCCAATATACTTTAAATTGTATTAACATTTCACAATATTACTGTTTTTACTATATTTTTGGTAAGCATTAGAGACTTCTTCCAAAAAAAAAAAAAACTTTTTTTCTTTCTATAGACTGGTCAGAAATCATGAAATTAACTGCACATTTTTTAATATAATAATAGCAAGAAATTCAAAACAAAAATAGTATAAAATAATAAAATAAAATAACACAAATACTTTGTGAACTTAATACAAAATATTTTCAGATAATATTTTTCGTTTTGACTTCAGTACCAATTATTTAATTTTGGAAACAACACAGTATAAATGGGTATTTATATATGGAAATATATAGCTGGCTTTATTTTTTAGATATGAAGGGTGCTCACAAGGGGATCATCATATGTGGGTGTAGTCGACATCAAAAGGTTTAAAAACCCCTGTTCTAAATCAAAGCCAAGACATGTTGTATAACAAACAGTCATTCTTACCGGGACATCCGAAGACAATACCAACTGTCCTTTCCACTCTGCCTCCTCTCTCTTATTTTTCCTTCTTCGCCGTGACCTCTTGACCCTGCTTTCCTCTAGGCCATCCTCGCTGCTTTCAGCACCTCCTGGATTTAAATTTTTATCCATGATGTTTGGGCGCCGGGTGGTTGAGGGTCGCCTGTGTTCTAGTGGCACTTTTCTTTTCAAGAAGGGCAGCAGAGTTTTCTGGGACTGGTGTAGTGGCCCATCTTGTCCTGCGGAGTCCTCAGTGTCAGCATTCAAGGTGTGTGCAGTGAGATGTTGTGCTTGTGCGTTCAAAGGCAAGGTTGCTTGACGGCTGTAGGACTCTGGGTAACTCAACTGCTTATTGGCAAACATTTTACGCCGAAGCTCTTCCAGTGCAGCACCCCAGACCCCATTAGCTTCAGGCTCTGTTTCTGAGCCCATCTCATCGTAAGCTGACACCATGCCAGACTCTCTTTCCAAGACGCTGTAGACCAGACTTTTGCGCTTAGTTAAAAGGCGTGGTCGAGAGAGCAGGTTGCTCTGATAAGCAATCCAGTTACCATCAGGACTCTGTAACACTGAAGACATACACACAGCATTTAGACATGTATATAAATGAAGAGGGTCAACAGTTTAAAAGTTCAAAATTATCTAAAATCTCTGTCATAAACAAGAAGAGTTGATTAACTATAGTTAAGAATCATATGGATTTAAGTCAAGGATCTAACTGGAATTGTCCAATCGGTCGACACTCCTCCAGCTAGGCATGGCCTGGACAGGCATTGGCTCTTCTTTCTTCATTTCCAGAGTATGACTTGTAGAGGATGAAAGTCTTGACCCAATGTTAGCATGCTGGTCTGTTTTCTCATCAGTCAAGAGACAGAAAGCTGAGCGAGACCTCTAAGGGAGAGGAAACATTTCATTCAAAACATCGAAGCAAAAGAACCAATCCAAAAGCATGGCCAAATTGCAGGTAATTTAGTCTTTAAAATAAATAAAAAAAGTCACTGTACCCAAAGAGAAGCATCAAAGGCACTCTGGGTTTGATCAGGACAGATTCCCTCACTGTTCTGGTCCAGATTACATCCAGACTTCATCTCAGACTGAGACAGATCCCTTTTCCGGTGGACAATCTGACATTTAAATATTCCAATATAATAAGTTTATGCAAACAGTGTCAAAATTTAAAAATAATAATATGATCATTTAAAAATAGCATTTAATAATTTTAAATGTAATATTATATCAACACGTATATTCCTATTCAACACAAGTTAAATAATACAATTCTGCATTGTCTTTTTGATGTCAAATCAAGAGTGTGAATATATACAGATAGGCAGACCTTGATACATTCAGATTAATGGATAATCTCAAATTGTACATTTTAAAAGCATTAAAATAAATAAATAAAAATATGTATTACATAATTATGCCTTTGAGTTATAAACAGTAATGTGTAAATTACGTGTAAAATAATGGGTAAAGTAAAATATGCTTACCAAGATTGCATTTATTTGATAAAAATACAGTAAAACAGTAATATTTTGAAATATTATTATAGTTTAAAATATCTTATTTCTGTTTTAATATATTTTAAAATGTAATTTATTCCTGTTATGGCCAAGCTGAATTTTCAGCAACCATTACTTCAGTCTTCAGTGTCACATGATCCTTCAGAAATCATTTTCATATGCTGATTTGGTGCTCAAGAAACATTTCTCATTATACAAGATTTGTGCTGTTTAATATTTTTGTGGAAACCTTGACACTTTTTTAGGATTTTAGATGAAAAGAAGGTTCAAAAGAACAGCATTTATTTGAAATAATAATCTTTTGTAACATTACAAATGTCTTTGCAGTCACTTTTGATCAATTTCATGGGTCCTTGCTGAATACACTGAATTCTACACAATGTAAAACTCTACATTCATGAAAGGTCACTGCTGTCATGTGTTACTCACTTTCTGTACTATAGTTTTGGCTAATTCCTCTATCAGCTCTTTTCTGTTCCCTCGCAAATAATGAGCTTCGTTCTGCTTCTCCTACAAAAGCAAATGTCAAATAGCTGTCATGTCACACTTGCCAAGTTACTGAATAGCAATGAATGAACAATCTTGTATCTATTAATGGGAAAGTCTTACTTGACTGTCAGTCTGGCTCTCAGCCTTAGCAATGGCCTCATCTATGGCCTCTTCTGCCACCCGCCGTGCCACATTAATAGTCTCAGCCATGCTGTGCTCTGGAGAGACATAATAATTAAAGTGTTTTCAAATGCCCCTGTATGAAACTAATGGAATCAAAACTACTGATATACAGTAACAAACCATACATATCTAAATAATGATTTGATCACAAACCTTCACTTTGCCTGCAGAATGTGGAGTCGCTCTCATACATACTATTCTCATTGCAGCCGCTCTCCTCATAAGTGCTGCCCTCTGTTGCTGCAAAAAATGTTACAGCTCATTTCATCAAAAGAACTTTATAACCTTTCATAATCTATCCATTTTCAGTCGCAGAGGATGTATAACTTTAGAAAGTGTTGCATGCTATGAAGAAATACTTAATGCCTCGATTTCTGAGGGCATCAACCTTTATAAAAAAGAACATCCACATAATAACATTTCAAAGTTTCATATCTAATAGTCTTTTTTCTGTTATTAAAATAAAATTGTCAAGAGTGATAAGGTAGGACGAGAGTGGAATAAAGAGCTTGGCTCAATATTAAATTAGAAAAAAATAAGTACAACCGTATACATTAAACATTTCTTTTGTTGTTAGTGTTATTGACACTGTTCCTGTGATAAATTGAGCGATTCAACAGCACTTCCAGTTCAGACACATGATTTAATAGCAGTGTCGACAGGTTTCTCTCACTGACAGACACGGTCTCAGTCTCAGAGAGCTGTTGGATGACAAAGCATTTGTTGGGTAAATACTGGCATATCAATATGGCCTCAGCTCTACATAGAGGCATTTAAAGTGCTCCCCTCAAGCCGGTAAATGTCAAACTACCTCTGAAGTCACCGGCTACCACTCTATGAAAACACCTGCCCTTTTCCTTCAAGCCAGTGTTTACGCCTACATTCTGCTGAGGAGAGCAGATCAAAGTAATGTTATGAATCTAGCTTTTTCTATAAGATAAGCTGAAGACTGATGTTGCGGCTTAAAAACCTATCCTATAATGCTATAAGCTTATCGCTCCAATCTTAGCACTTGTCTGACGTTACACTCAGACAGATTATCTCCTAGCTTTTCTCTGCATCAAATTTTCAAAAGCTTGACCACATAGTGCATTGAGTTTTGTGGCCAAAGCTCTTTATTTTTCATGGTCACTGTAATGGTTTTACTCTCCTCCACAGAGAGCTATTGTTCCTCACAGGTTACAGGGGTCTGCTGAGGTGACAAACATCCACATATATGGTCATCCATTGTTAATGTGGCATTGGCCTTGCTCTAAACGCTTTCCTCTTCATGGAGAAGACATTCTCTGCTCACAGACCTCAGCAAAACTGAAATGGAGGCTGGGCACAGATCATAACTCATTTAGGGTTGTGCCCACAAACACAAGCAAAGAAGCTTCAAGCTGATGTGGAAGAGAAAAATAATCTTTTACAGATTATTTTACACATCCAAACAAGGGTGCAGTAAAAATAATGTTAACTAGCAGTATATTTTTGGCTATTACTTTCTGGCTGTACTTTAACAGTAGTTTTTTTTTTTTTTTTGTAAAAACGACAACTGTTTACTGTGATTTTCCAGTGAATGGGGAGCAAGAAATTATTTGTGATGACCGAGGCCACACATAAATGTATTTGATTTAAATACAGGTAGCAGGTTAATCGTTTTTTAATTTATGTATTGGTTTTGAGGTGTTTTTTTCCCGTTTTTTCTTCCTTTGTAAATGTGTATTTATTTTTGTATGTTTTGTTTATTTGCCTAAATATGGATGCTCTAAATTAGGTAGCTTATGTTGTCTTCTTTATGCACGCTAAAGGAGGACAGGTAGCTCCTAATTATTTTCTATTCGCTGGAGTTCACGCTGGTGAATGGAAGGTGTAACAACGAGCATAATGTTGTTCTTTATTTATATGATTTGTTAGTGTATAAGTGAATATGAATTATGGTTATTAATTTTATTTATGTTGTTCTAAATGCGATGTGAATTCATCTAATTTAGGTAGTTATTGAAGTGTATTTGTGTGTGGGTGACCCCTTTTTCAGTTGTTAATGGTACAGTCCCGGTAATATAAGGGCTGGGTTTTGTTTGTTAAGGGAGTTTTTTGGGAGAGGGATCCCAACTGTTAACATCTGAGCCCTGGAACTCCATTTTTTCTTTTTTCTTTTTTATTTGTGCCGTTTTCTTGATTTTTTCTATGTATGACCAAGTTTATGTTTAAAAAAAAATGGGAAACCTATAAAGAATTGAATTTTTTGCAAAACATGCTTCCTGCGTTTATTGGACGAATCATGACATTATTACATTTTCAATTTCTGATTAATATCTTTCTGTACACCAGAAAACGATAATATTCAGTCTTTTTTTATTTAGGCTATAGTGAATAAAACATTTACCTGTTAATGTAATAAGTAATTATTGTATAGAATTATGTGTATATGCTTGATTTTGATTCGCTATTTAAATGTTAGGAATACAAGAGGGAATGGATCTATCAGGTCATAATCAAAGTACACAGCGACCCTTCCTCCATAAACATGAATAATTCTCATAAATCCTGCTGCTGTTAAATTGGATACAGAGGAGGCAAGTCATAGACTAGAGGAGCCCTGTCTGCTTTTTTCTTAACCTTCATGAATTAGTGCTAAATACATGTGTGCACATGCAACCATAAGCTGTAAAAAGACAGAGCTAGGGCTTGAAGGACAATCTAAAACTGACATATCCGCTGAATGCAGAAGGCATTTGAAATGCAGCAACTCCTACAAACATGCAACCAGTGTTGGGAAGGTTACTTTGGAAATGTAATAGGTTACAGATTACAAGTTTCCCTATTTAAAATGTAATAGTAATGTAACTTTTTCAATTACTTTGTTAAAGTAATGTAACTGATTACTTTTGATTACTTTTCTAAATTTCTAATGAATGTTTATTTGCAACTGTTAAATCATTTTCAAACATTTACACCATGCAGGGTTAACCTTTTTGTCTGCTAAATTACTACTGTAACATTACAATAGATAATAATTGTTACGGGACGAACAAGACGTGAGACGTGCGGATCCATTTGCAAGCTTTATTTAGGAGACGTGGTCAGAAACAGGCATGGGTCAAACAATGGCAAACGGGTATGTAGAAGACAAGGCAAGAGCAATCAGGTAAACAAGCGAGGGTCAGTCGACGGAGAACGTAATGCAACAGGGCGAGACTAGAGGGATAATCCAGGTACAAGGCAAAGGTCCAGGCAGGGGCAAACAGTATCCGAACAGGGCAAGATGAGAGAGGTAATCCAAAGTACACAGGCAATGATCAGAACACGAGAAAACACAGACAAGGCAAGATTAAGCTAAGCTAAGACTAGGAAACTTAAAGCAGGCTCCGTAAGGTAGCTATCAGCTAAACAGTGATATATGCTAAACAATACTCAGCCTTGAATGGTGGTGTGAGACTGATTTATATAGTGTGTGTTATTGGTAGCAGCTGTGTGTGACTAATTTCAGGTGAGCTTGTGATTAGTGCAATGGAGCATGGGAAATCTAGTCCAGGGTGATGTGTAACAGTCTGTGTAGTGTGAGAGTCCATGTGGAGAGCGCGTGACCTCTGGTGGCGAGTGAACGGAAGTTTATAGACCGGATTCGTGACAATAATGATGTCCTTTATACAGTATTTTGAGTGATGACTAATGAGCAATGAGCTGCTGCTGCTTAACTAAGCAAACAAAGACAAAACTACAATAGCATATTTACAGATGAAACTAACCTGCACTTGAAACCCTGAACAGTAGTTTTGCTTCTCTGCTCCACATGTGCGCTTCCACAGTCCACACCATTCCCTGTCTCACATTGATTACTCTGATCCAAACTGTTTGGCGGAAGCGCGGCGAGCGTGCGAGCCGAAGCATTGCTAGTCACGACTAACCGATTCATGATTTATTAGAGATTTAATTATCGAATGGCGAATTCGGAAATAATCACTTTAGTACATTCGGCAGGCAATTATACAATAATAATATTAAAATAGCGGGGCAAATCGGCTGCCAGGCCACCAGGAAATGTCCCGGTTCTTCCAATGGCCAGTCCGCGCCTGATTTCCACAGACACGCAGAACGTGCAGGATTCATATATTGTCTTTTTGCGGCTTAATATTCACAGACACTAGTCCATATCGCGCTTTGATTCAAGTGTACTGACCTACTTTTGATTTATTCGTCCAAAATGTGGCATATTCCGTCCGCGTTAGGCTATAGGACTTCCGTTTTTATGACTGGATTCTACAAACCAGTCTGTGCTTTCCACATCGCGGAAATTATGTCTCAGAGTAATCAGTGCAATTTGGGAAAGAAATCAATTAAATCTGTATGTGGATGTGTGTAAATATTCAAATGTAATCCCCTTTGTAATCGTTAACATTTTCATAAGTTAATTCAATCATTTAATGACACGTTTTTTCTTAGTAACTGTAACTGATTACAGTTACATTTATTTTGTAATTAAATTACGTAACGCCGTTACATGTAACTAGTTACTCCCCAACACTGCATGCAACATGCAAACCAGCTCTTTTACCTCCAAAATATATACATTATAAAATGTCATAGTGTGAAAGCAACCTTTATTTTCAAGGAAGGTCATACATAACAGTCCAGATGGCAAGTACCTGTAAGCTCTGCTAGCACTCCACGCTCGGCCGCATGCCTCCTGTAGAGGTTCTTTAACACTTTGGCACTGCCAAACCTTTTAAAACGCCTTCTCACATTATTGTAGAACCATTCCAGTGACTCGGTCTTCAGTAGCCTGGAAATACATAAACAAGGCCACATTATAATGCTTATTTAAGAGCATTCCTGAGTCTCTGTTTACGCTACACTGATTAAAACCTTTGACAATGTAAGTGCAGAACGTATGATTATGAAGACTATGACATTTGTCCTATAATCATAGACACAAGGACCTATAATCAAGCACACACACAAACATACAAAGAAAGGTCACTATATATACAGCGATAGGCACTTTTGAGCATGCTCAATATCAGAGACCTGGTTAAGCCTGTGCTACATTGTGCTATATTGTCAAAAAAAAAAAGAAAACTTTATTCTTATGCTCTAGGGAGTATGCCAAAATTGCCAGGAATTTTAACATTCAATAATTATCAATCAATAATTATGTTAGCAACATTATATCAACAACCAAGTTTTAATAATCTGTTAAAGAAATATGCAGAGAAATATGAGATGTTGGTAAAGACTACAGTGTTGTTTTCATGCTTAAAATAGCATTCTGTGTCCTTTTACCATAATGTGCAGACACTCCCTGAGGGCAAATGATATTTGGAAAGAATTTTACTTTAAGATGGACTTTAAATGGGAATTACTTGTTTATGCATTTATTTAATTAACTAGACAAGAAGCCACATGTACTGTATACAGATAGCTTAGATACTACATATACCTGTTCTGTCTATAAGCATAGCATAAATTTAAATTGCCTGCTTCCATTCAGTAATTATCTAATACACAGATCTTTGCAATGAAAACTGGAATGAGCATCCGTTTTATTACGTGAGGACAGAGAAAATACGAGTGGATGTGTATAGTATCAAAATTCAATTCCACTGATGGACGTAATCTCTGTTCAAGTGTGAGTGTGTATGTATAAGATAGGAAAGAGAAGGAATAATCCTGCTATAAATAAATAAATAAATAAATACAGTGATGTTTTGCACAGAGATGCAGGACTTCTGTAGGACATATTAACCTTCCATGCACAGTGTGTGAAGCGTAAAGCTCTTGGGTTTCATTAGCACTACAGATTCACATCACATCTGTAGAAAACCATAATAAGACAGAAGGTCGCCCAAAATTTAACTCTGCCTTCACTAGTTAGCAAAATCAAATAGGTTAAACCTAAATTGAAGGTTTTATGTTTGCAGGCCAGTATTTATCCATTAGTGTGTATGTAAGAAGTGCAAAAATATTTTCTGTCTTGGTTCAGTAGGATTCTGACCTACAGCACTCTGTGACATTTACAAAGGCATTTGAACGCAAGTCATGTCATGCGCTATACTTGTATTATACAGTATCTCACAGAAGTGAGTACACCCCTCACATTTTTGTAAATATTTTATTATATCTTTTCATGTGACAACACTGAAGAAATGACACTTTGCTACAATGTACATAATAATTCTGATGACTGTCTTAAGTGTTAAGTGTTATTTGAACCCTCAACAAGAATACTCTGTTATAAACAGTTATTGCACTCTTTCATTAAACCATGAGTGTAAACAAACCCACAGACATACAGACGCTCACTAACGCTCAAATGACTACTAAGGTGCTTTGAAATATACGTGAGACACAACTCATATGAACATAAATACAAGCAATTTTTCACAGTAGAGTCAATTTACAGAACCAGACCTGAAATGAATTAAACAGTTTTTTAAATTGTAAATTAAAAAAAACTTTAAATGTTTAAAAAAAAAAAAAATCACTTTTCGTCTTACCAAACCCAAGTGTTTTTTTAAACAGACTTCCCAGTCTATTTATAAGGGATGAACAAATATTACATTTTCTGATGATATTCTATATTATTTTGTCTAAATAAATTAACAATAAATTGCTAAAAATAAATTTAATGATAGATGTGAATTTAGGCATTGCAACATTATAATGTACATTATGAAAAATGGATATTCATTTTTAGATTTGCAAAAGATTATATTTAACTGTGTTATTGAATTATTAGTGTTTTTAAAGATTCACTTCAAGTGAGAGTTAGACATTGCAAAGATAACCTAAACATAAAAAATACTGTATGAGAAATGAGCATGCACAATTAAATATCCAATACTGACTGATACCGTCAATTAAAAAAAAATCTAACATCAACCAATAACCAATACAGTGCCAATATATCATGAATCCCTAGTTTTTAAATCCTGATAACAACCAGAAGCATCATGAGCCTTTAACCTGCAGGTGTTTCCTACGAAAGCCCCCTGACGGAGCTCACGCTCACAACAGCTCTGGATAGCGCGGCAGAACTGACCTGGTCTTCTGGCAGGCGGAGCACAGCCAGCCTTTGTCCTTCTTACTGTAGGTGCAGCAGCCCTTGCAGACGTTGTAGCAACAGTCCAGGCAGGAACGTTTAGGGTTGAGCAGAAAGGTGAACAGAGAGCAGCAGCGGATGCAGCAGCGCTCATTAAACCTGTGCTGCCGCGACAGCAAAACAGACCGACTGCCCTCCTCAACCAGTGCCTTCTTCATCTCACTGGAGCGAGAGAGAGAGTGAGAGAAAGAGAGAGAGAGAGAGAGAGAGAGAGAGAGAGAGAGAGAGAGAAAAAACCAGACGTTGTAGCAACAGTCCAGGCAGGAACGTTTAGGGTTGAGCAGAAAGGTGAACAGAGAGCAGCAGCGGATGCAGCAGCGCTCATTAAACCTGTGCTGCCGCGACAGCAAAACAGACCGACTGCCCTCCTCAACCAGTGCCTTCTTCATCTCACTGGAGCGAGAGAGAGAGTGAGAGAAAGAGAGAGAGAGAGAGAGAGAGAGAGAGAGAGAGAGAGAGTTGAAAAACAACTGTGATATAAAGTATTTGACTAAAATGATACTTAAGCTGATGCATATTTGTCTGAGTATTAGGATGATGCATTAAAAAAAACATACATAATTAATCTCTATGTAAGGCAGGCTGTAGTGCCCTATAAGTGGATCATGTTCACATGACATCTGCGTGTTGACAGATGTGCTGCATTTGCCCTTCAACGTCTTAAATCTGTCTGTATTTCCAGCCGTACTGCAGCCTCCAGAGAGGAGAGAGCAATTCTGAGCAAAATTGCTCTGACATTTAGCAGAGAGACAAGCAACCTAACACTATTTAATAGAGGGTTGCAACCAGCACATACATATTTTGTTTGTGACATTAGATTTATGCTGCTTAATTACACTGATGTGCCCTTAGGATATGAATGAAAAGTCAGAATTGTAGGGTTAATAGGGTACAGTAAGAAGGCAATTGATTAAATCAAAGTAAATAAGAAATATCTTAATCAGGAAAAATGCATTAGTGGTGTGTTTTTCCAGTAAATCTTCCTGGAGTCTACATTGATATGCCAGTAGGTGGCGACAAGTGACTACATGTCTTTGTGCGTGACTCTGAATCGATCAGTCAACTGAATTGTTCCATTCAAAATGCTGATTTACTAAGCAAGTAATTACTTAGTGAACATTAAAAAAGTATGTTCTATATAGTATGAATATATTCTGGATGTACTACATTCATCATGTTGTCATTTTCAAGTGACCTACTAGCATCAGTTGCAGTGTTGCTTCACTGCTATTCACATATCCTCTCCCCGTGGCCTTGTGGGATAGTGATGGGAAGTTCGGATCATTTTACCGACTCGGACCTTTGAGTCTCGTTCAGCAAAATGAACGAATCTTTTTTCTTGTGGGATAGTAAAGTGTCTATTGAATGCATACTTCACAATCTCATCAGAAATAGCAGGTCATCCCTACTCACAAATCCAATACTGTGAATTCGGACATATTACTCTGTTCACGTATGGTTTTTACCCTATGCAATTTATGTGATTTTGGATGCAACCACTGTGTTTATGAGTGAATCAACAAATCACTGACTCATCTGAATCGATTCGTTCAAAAACACTGATTCATTCAGTAATGCGCAAAAAGTTAATTTTGCTTCGACTTTGGTTGGAAATATTTTCTTTGGCAGAGAAAAATTACAATTTCCAAATGTGCTGCTGGTCTTAATATAATCATGGCTGTGGTTTCCTATGATTTACAGGTGTAAATGAATATTAATAGGCACAGTAGAGTGAAGACATAAGTGGACAAAGAGGACATAAGTAAACAAAAGTGAATGGTTTAAATTAAATTTTTAAATGTAATATTGAAATTGAAATCATTTTAAATAATGTGTCATGATACATACTGTTATAAAAGCAAACCTGTGACTCATAGAGAGAGGAGCTGACAAAAAGGAGCGGAGAGAGGGATGAAAACTAGAAAGGAAGCATTGTATTGAAAATCTCTGCTTGAGGTGTGGCATTTACTTTGTCTCTCCAAACAATGCCAACAGGAAATCATTACGAATGATTAGAGCCACAGCTTGAACAGATCGGCTCCAGTGAATACTGAGAGGGGGGAACTGAGGATAATCTCAGCAGATTAAAAACAGACAGACAGGAAAGAAAAAAATGGAAAAGAAAGAAAACAAAGGCTGTAATGACATAAAACACATGCAAGGGTGGATAATACATTACAGTGACGTTGATTTTGTAACTGTGGACTTGGCAAACACAAATTTATAACACTGCATTTTTGCATCTATGTGTGCACAGAAATAGTTTGCTGACAAATTTGTGCCAAAACCTCCCTTTGGGGACATTTTGTGCATGCTTGAAATCAGTGAAAAACACTGCACTAAATCCAAGATGCATGTAGTTTGTAGATTCATCTCTAAATGTAACATTCAGACCACAGAGATACAAACCAGAGATTACTGCCTTCCACCAGTTTGTCTAAACTGAATCAGTGGCAAGATGCATTTAAAGTAACAGCCAAAAAGCACAAAAGAAGATAATAGCTGAAAACTTCTTACAGACCTGAGCAGGATCAATTTCATGTCCCTACAGTCACCCACGGTGATGATACCCCATCAGGGGTCTCTCCAATGAACTTATAATTGGATACTCAGCAGGCAATTTCCACCGAGTTCTCAGAAACATGGTCTGTTGTTTACAAAGCAGGCCGTTGGCAGAGAACAGCAGAGGCATCCTGTGCCAGTAGGTGCAGATCCAAGCGAAGGTCTACTAAGTGACTCATGCCAGATAGCCAGACTGGGCGCAGGTGTAATGAACAGGGGGTCAACCAATGCCAATATTTTTTACTAAGTCATCTGACACACCAGTATATATCATGAATGACAGGTTATATATAATTAGATACAATCTGCAACTTCAGTACACAATTTAGCATATCCTCTTCTTTTCCCATGCCTGTTATGCAGTATGTATCTATAATACATTTTACAGTATCCTTTGTAAAGTTTCTAATACACTCGAGTTTCTAATGTTTGATATAAATGACACTGTTTTATAGGTCAATATTTGTTGTATATCAGGTGATATTATATATTTTATTAGTGTCACGGTGCACACACACGCGAGGGACGAGGAGACGCTGGAGAATATGTTGACAAGACTTTATTTGCACCAAGGGAGACGAACACAGGAAGACGTTCACAGGAAGACGTTCACACGAAGGCGTTCAACAGCGGACAGAGAACTAGGGACTGGGAACACTTTAAATACACACAGGAGGAGGGGATGACGAGACACACCTGGGATCAATGAACCATCATGGGGAACACCTGGGACAAATTAAACATGGGAAAGGAACACCTGGGGAGCAAGACACAGACAAAACATGGAACAGAGTCTGACAATTAGATGGTGGATTTTTTCCCTCCAATTTTTACACTTAGATGAAGTGAGCATTAGATGATGGCAAAGGTACAGTTATTTTTTTTTAACTAATAATTTCATAACTGGTAAATGTAATTTTAAGCCAATTTTAACAGTAATATTATTGTTTCATTCTTTACATTATATTGTTGTGATGCCTTAAATGTATGTATAGCATTTAAAATGATTTAAGTTTTTAGTGTTTTGTTTTTAATGTATTTAAACAAATACTGGCCATTTATCAATTTTTCACCATAACATAAAAACAATTATCAGTTTTTTACATACAATGTTAAAATATTTTTTTATAGTTTTAGTTATTGTTATAGTTATAGTTTTCGTAATTTGACTTAAATGTAAGGTTAGACTATATTTTAAGGTGTCCTTGTTACAGTGTAATTATACCTTTGAGTATTGAGTAATATTAATTAAATGCATGTACTTACTATATGGTTAGGGTTAGGATTAGGGTTTAGCTTAGCTTGCATGTAATTATGCATAATTTATTGTTATTATAATAGTACGTACATGTAACGTGTGTAACAAGGACACCTTTAAAATAAAGTGTTACCAAATTTAAATGTATTTGTAATTAAGTCTAAATTCAATCTAATAAAAAATGTTGCATGAGGATTGAGAGGTTCACACACAAGAGAGATCAATCTCAAACTAAATCTACTGTTGTGTTATATAGCGCAAAGACTCCAGAAATGTAGCAATTACATGACCTATTCCTGGAACATCTTGATAACATAGATCAGCAGTGTTATTCCAACACAATAACACATAGCAAACAAGATGTGGTACGCTGGGAATGATTCACTTTAGAGCAATGCAAGAAAACATGTCTAATCAGGGTTTGTTGATCTGTTAAATGCATAGTTGCTAGTCTTTCTATGGAGATTCAGCATAGACAGACCGGAGACAAAACTAGTTCTCTAATTTAAATAAACTCTCATTAGGAATCAGATTTGGATGCCGACGAAAACAGCTTAAAACATAAGCCACACAAATATTCATATAGCTTTAGTATGTATTGCAGTGTAAATGAATCAGCACGTAATTAAAGAAGCAATCCTATCATAATTGTTTGTATAAGGCCAAAATGTCCCACTGGATAGTGTGCTACAAGCCAAAATGTCTGCCCAGATTCACTATGTTCTGTGTGCAGTTCCACACCACTTTCTCTTCAAGTAATGGATTAACAGGGGCCTCACAAAAATGACAGAATCTGCCATCTGTTTGAAATATTTGATTTAATGAAATGGAAAATCATGGATGAGTGCATGGATAGATGGCAGACTCTAGGGTGTCTCTCTAGATTTTTTCCAAAGTCTGATTTAGATCGGTGTTACCCAACCAGGGCTTTGCGTACCCCAGGGGGTACTTAAGTACATCCTAGTGGGCATTTGGAAAGTACATAAAATGGATATAAAATTTTTAAAAAGAATTGTGAAGAAGAGACTGTCACGCCCCTGGACTCTTTGTGTTGTGTTTTCCCTCCCCAGGTGTGCCGTGTTCCCTTTAATTAGTCATTCCTTGCACCTGTGTTTTCCCAATCACCCAGTGTTTAAAAGCCCCAGTCCTTTCAGTTAGTGTTTGTCGGTCCTCAAACGTCATTCCTTGTGTTCCAGTGTCTCCTACGTTCCCCGTGTGATCATTAAAGACTGTGAATTGAAGTTATCTCCGTGTTTCCTCGTTCCTCGCTCCTTGCCTCCCGAGAAGTGTGACAGAAGGACCAACCAAAACAGTAACTTCCGTGTTTTCCCCTCCGTTGGCTCCTTCCTCCCACCAGCTCCACCTTGGTCCTCAGTCGCTCTGGCTACGCCGCGGATCTCCGGATCTCCGCCTCCACCTTGGTCGCCAGAGCCCTTGGCTCCAACCTGGCCCCCCGGATCCTCGGCATCCCCCTGGCTCGTTGGCTCTCCGCCTCGGGCTCCTCCACCGCCATTGGTCGGCCCCCTGGAATCGGTGGCCATTCCTCCTCCATGGCTCCTCACTCCATCAGCTCCACCGTGGGCCGCTGTTATGGCTGTGGCCTGGGTCCTGCTGTGCTCTTCCTGCTCCGGGTCCCTCCTGTCTCCTCCCTGGACTCTGTCTGCCGGCCCCCTCCCGGGCATCCGTCCTCCTCCTGAGCCTCCTCCCTAGTTCTCACCCACTCCGCTCCCCATGTTATTTCTACGGTGCGAGGACGCACCTTCTGGGAGGGGGGAGTAATTTCACGCCCCTGGACTCTTTGTGTTGTGTTTTCCCTCCCCAGGTGTGCCGTGTTCCCTTTTTAATCAGTCATTCCTTGCACCTATGTTTTCCCAATCACCCAGTGTTTAAAAGCCCCAGTCCTTTCAGTTAGTGTTTGTCGATCCCCAAACGTCATTCCTTGTGTTCCAGTGTCTCCTACGTTCCCCGTGTGATCATTAAAGACTGTGAATTGAAGTTATCGCCGTGTTTCCTCGTTCCTCGCTCCTTGCCTCCCGAGAAGTGTGACCGAGACAGTATAAAGTGCATCATACACCTTTCAGTGCATCTACAAGGGTTATGTTAAATATTTTAAGAACAGATACATGATGCCTTGATAACGCATTTAACTGGTTTCCAATTTTTTTTATTACTTTGCCAAAACAAATACTTTCCCACAAGACGGATCTCCTGAGGAAAAAAAAAAAACTTTTTAAATCCCTGTATTTTCCTGCCTCTACTCAGAGGGTCTTTTCTAATAATCTTGTTTTTTGCTCTTCCATTCTCTGATAACTCACTCAGTCCTGTTTGAAATTCAGAGATGCTCCCCAGGAGTCAGAGAGGATATTGAAAAGCTAGAAGCATGCAGGCAGAACACACTTGGGAGAAGAAAAAAATGCTGTCGCATAAAATGAGATGGTTTAAGGTTTTGTAGGGACGTGAAAGAGAATTGTGGGGCTTAAGAAATAGCACTAATATTCAAATAGAAATTTCTTTTTAACTCATTTGAACTACAAAAGTATGAAACAAAAATACCTGGCAATCAATATAGGGTTGTATAGTACAAAAATAATATAGTATATAGGCTAGCCAATCCCAATGCTCTTAACTGGACAAATAAAAACCTGTTTCCTGGAGCTGAGGAAAACTAATGCAAACTGTAATATTATATCACAACGGCTCTGTCTACCTGATATTAACATCCATCTTAAATGATTGAATTACTGTACAAGTGAACATCCAAGACAGATCTTCACACCGGCCATTAACACACATCTAAAGCATGTCTCCTTTAAGCACCTGTGATCCGATTTTGAAGGGAAAAGTCTCTTTTTGTGACTACATAAAATACGACGTCTGTGTGTTTCTGCATCTCTGAGTTACAAACTAGATGCCAAAAAGTCTAAAATGCCTTAAAGCATGAAACAACTACACTGAGGCATTGTTTGTTTTTTTCCAAATTAATTTTTTTGCCATTATTCCTACTTCCTGTTCCAGCAAACAAGCATTTTCAAGAGTGTGAGAGATTAGAGCGGCCAGAGTGCTTCTCTGTCGGTCAGATAAAATCGTGGTGCCAAACAAAGTCATTAACCAAAGTGTTTTCCTCACCCCGAAGTACCGTGATGAGTAATGTGCTCTTTTGTGCCAATGTGCCACACTTTTTTTTTTAAAAGAAAGACAAAACAATGGGGGTAAGGGGGGAAGAGAGAAGGTCAAACAGAGATTACAGACTAAATATATGCATTATGTTCTGTCCTCTGAGAACCAATATTATTACATAAAATTACTTAAAAGTCAAGTCAGGTAAGACAGTTAGGTGAGTATTCTGCCCGTTTCTTACAAATACTTGCTGGGAAGTGCAGCAAATAAGAACACCAAAGAGATATTTGTTTATATGTGACCCTGGACCACAAAACCAGTCTTAAGTCGCTTGGGTATATTTTTAGCAATAGCTAAAAAAACATTGTATGGGTCAAAATTATTGATTTTTCTTTTATGCCAAAAATTATTAGGATATTAAGTAAAGATCATGTTCCATGAAGATATTTTGTAAATTTCTTACCGTAAATATATCAAAACTTAATTTTTGATTAGTAATATGCATTGCTAAGAACTTCTTTTGGACAATTTTAAAGGTGATTTTCTCAATATTTTGATTTTTTGCACCCTCAGATTCCAGATTTTCAAATAGTTGTATCTCGGCCAAATATTGTCCCATCCTAACAAACCATACATCAATGGAAAGCTTATTTATTCAGCTTTCAGATGATGTATACATCTCAATTTTGAAAAATTGACCCTTAAGACTGGTTTTGTGGTCCAGGGTCACATATGTAAACAGAGAGGGCCTTTTAATTTGCAAATACCTGTGACGGTAGAAATATTGGACTCATATGACCAAGATACAACATGACTGTGTCTGTCCTGAATAATAATGCCTCTATATATCTGTAGGTCAGAATCAGATTTCTTCAAAGCTGTATTCATGGTGGGCTCAGGGAAGTGAGTCACGGATAAAGAGGAAAGGGAGGGCCTTCCCTGTCATTTTGTTTTAAAGTATGACAAAGAATGATGGGAACTCATACTCTCTAGCAAAGACTGGAACGCCATTTGGGTTACATCACGAGGAAGGCAATGCTAAAATAGTTTATTTACAAACTTTTCATGAGAATGGTGATATTTATCATTATCATTTTAAAATGACATACAAAGTTTGTGGTTGGTAGGATTTTTAATGTTTCTGAAAAAGTCTCTTACGCTCATCCAAGCTGCATTTATCTGATAATAAAATCTGATTTGGTGCTCAAGTAACATTTATTATCAATGTTGAAAATACTCAAATTGCTTAATTTATTTGTGGAAACCGTGAAGCATTTTTGCAGGTTTTTCATGATCTGAAAAGAAACGCCATTTATATAAAAAAAAAAAATTTTTTATAACAATGTAAATATCTTTACTGTCACTTTTAATTAATTTACTGTATCCTTGCTGAATAAAAGCAAAATTCTTACTGACCCCAAACTTTTGAACAGTAGTGTATTTTGAGCAGGAGGAGTCCTAAAAGTGATGCTACAAAGACACAGAAGTGTGCATGAGACTCACTTGAGCCGCGTCTCCTCCGTTTTGCGCAGCTCCATGTCCCGTTGCACCACCTGCATCACATGCTCAGCCTCCACATCTGTCAGACCAGTGAGATCCAGTTTACGCCCCATCCTTCACCTCTGGAGAGCTAATAAGATATCTGCCCTGTCCTGACTGTTAGCTGAGGACAGTAATAGAAGCAGAGCAGAGTCATTTAATAATTTCAAAAGCTTGGCACCAACTGCGCCACTGGCTTCATAACGTGTTTGAAATAACAGATGTCAGATATTGTATATTTCAACTGTATAATGGAAGCTAGAAGCTAAATCTGAAGACAAAAAATAATCTTGTAATTATAACAGTTTCATTATGAAATCAACATAATACAGTGTATTGCAAAAGTCCAAAGTAAACCCTGTTGCATAAGGCTGTTAAATCAGCCTGTAGCTGAAATAAGGGCCCTGAGATTTAAGACCCCAACAATGTCAATTGTATCCATTGCTGTGGATGTTTTGACATATTAAAAAATACATGAACTTTTCTATTTTCTATTTGCTTGCCTTAAACACTGCAATGTATGGAAAATGAAAGCACATAAATTTAGGCTACTAAAAGTACTAAAACATCAAATAAAATGAAAACTGAACATTTAGGCTAAAAATAAAAGCTTGTTCAAAATATTAATAAATAGTATACTATAATAATGTATAAATAATAATAAAATAACACTGGTGTCCCCAGTTTAAAAAACAAACCTAGTCTTTTGTAGGCACACTGTAAAACTAACAAATCTTTCTTAGCAACCTCGAAACCATCTGCTGAGCCAACAGTGAAAGCAAACACAAAGCTTTTGCCCATGAGGTATAACTACAATTCATCTGTCAGAAGGTGGCAATGCATTAAAGGAACAGTTCTACATTTGTCATCATTTACTCACCTCAGCCTCAAGTCACCATTCATTTTCGATGCATCTCTTCCCATACAATGAAACTGAATGGTGACTGAACCTGTCATTCTGCTTCACATCTCCTTTTGCGCTCCACAGAAGAAAATGAACAACATGAGGGTGTGTAAATGATGACAGAACTTTAGTTTTCGAGTAAACTTTCCCTTTAAACCAGACTTTGCGACGGATTAAGTGGACGTCGAGTTTGATGCTGAGTTTGGATAACAAACCACTTTTATAAAAGAAGAAACCGGTCTATTTCTTACACGAGACAGCTCTAAATCATAATAAATAGCCTATTTTCTGTTCTGTTAATCATTCAGGCACATTTATATAAATTTGACTATAATAAACAACAAATTAACCATACAAGAGACAAACAATTGATACATTGGGAAGAACTTTAGATGCGGCACTTACCGTCGCGTCTTCACCTCAAGTCGTTTACATCAGCGACTGCCAAACTCATTATGAATGTCCGCAGACCGCCTCAAATCAATACGGTCGACTTTCCGTGTCTTTTGGGAATGTTTCGAAGATATCCTTTTAACTAGTTTGACAAAAAATAATCAAAAGCGTCTGAAGAGAAACGCTCGGCCCGGAGCGCGTGTACCTGCTGTGGTCTCATTTACGACCACGAGACCTGAAATCTGCCAACCTCCGGTACACAGAGCCCTGCAATGCTGCAACAGTGCTGCTGATAATCCACTTTTGGACGTGCTGAACACTGATACCATATTGAGAGAGAAGGGAATGTAAGATTTAAACGTTGCTGTTGTTTTAGCCACAGTTGCATAGCTGTAAAAATAAATAAATTAAATGCAGTCACAAGATAACACTGATTTGGATTCACTGAAACACTGTAAACATTTAGCTTAAATATACAGAATGATGAAATAAAACAAGCATTTTTTTACGTATTGATAGATATTAGATTTACATGATTTTGTTTGATTTATATTAGCCTATTTAACCCTAAATTTGAGTTCTGATAAAAAATAAAATAAAATAACTCTCAAAAACTGAGGTGCATAAGCTCTGCTCAATATGACCAATCAGTTCCATAAAGGAATACAAATCATGTGCTAATAGAAAGAAAACAAGTTGACAAAAAAGACTGAATCCAAAATTCTCTGATAATATTGCATAATGAGAGATTTACAGCCAATTTTTAAAAGGCTGGTCAAATTAGGGAAAGGATTTTCACTAGTGCTGTCAAACGATTAATCGTATCCAAAATAAAAGTTTTTGTTTACATAATATATGTATGTGTACTGTGTATATTTATTGAGTATATATAAATACACACACATACAGTATATATTTTGAAAATATTTACATGTATATACATTTATATATTTATATTCTTATATTTTATATTATATATAAATATATTTAATATATAAACATAACATCTTTTTTTTAAATATGCATGTGTTTGTATTTACCTATACATAATAAATATACACAGTATACACACATATATTATGTAAACAAAAACTTTTATTTTGGATGTGATTAATCGTGATTAATCATTTGACAGCACTACTTTTCACAGAACAAGAGTTCAATTGTTTTGTCTGTGACATGCTGCTTTGCCATTTTGCATTCTTTGCTGCCTTCTTAGATCACTTTTTTTTCCTAGCATCTCAACAAGTTGTTATCCTGCAGATACAACCAACAAAAGTAACGAATTTAGAGAGCACCCAGATAGTAAAACACAGGTCAAAATGCATCTTCACAGTTATTCAAAGTGAAAACCAGTTTAAACCAGACTTGCCTTTTGGTTTTAGCTGGATTATGTTGTTTAACCCACAAAACTAATGCTAATCCCAGTTCCACACACACTTAGACACCATGTGGCCCATCATTGCAATAATGTTATGTTATCTTTTTAAAGTATATTTTCTTTTGTCCTACCAGTGCTGTTAGTCACTGATCTGCAAATTTACACTTTAATGTTCCAGTATTTTTTCGACTTAAGCTTAGTCACATGTAGATCTAGTCAGCTGGTTTGAAACAATGGCACAGAAAAGCCAAAGTACCCTGAGTTTTCTTCACTCTCGCTCTTTCTCAGTCCTCAAAGAGAAAGAGAAATACATTCTTTTTTTTTCAAGATCACTTTTCACTTGTTTTCAGGAAAAAAATCTTATTATGCAATAGCTATCATCTGTTTTCCTGCAAACAGAGTTATAAATCAATAGCAAAACCGAAAGTTGAATGGCAAAACACAATAATAAGAGCCTTATGAGATACCGTACAATGGCCTCTCTTTTTGCCCCTCGGCCATACAAATCACTCAATCACTGTATTAGACAGTAAATCATTATATATCTAAGCAGGGTTGTTCAAACCTGCAAGTGTGTTTCAAAATGTTTTCGTCAGGGCAATTGTGTTACTGCCCCTTTTTTGGACATCTGGTAGTGCTTAAATGTGAGTATAAAGCAGAGATGAAGTGCACTTGGACTGCAGAAAGCAGCAGGATGAAGAGTAATGTGCAGCTAGGGCTGTTGTGTCTCAGCCTGCTCATCTTCAGTCTTCATGGAGAAGTTGTCGAGACAGAAACGAGCAAAGAATTTCCCCCCCCCAATTTCGAAGAGCCGGATCTTCATCAGCTTGAGGTGAGTGATGACTTTGCTGGAAATGCTTCTAATGAGGTCAATCACACTGGGGTGAGAAGGACATTTAAGGGGTATATTTCTTGTGGCATGAATCTCCCTAAATATAGTTCATGACTTTTGCAAAGTGATAGACTGCATGAATGGCATATTTGTAACCTAATTCCATTAGTAATTTCGCCTTAAATACTGTCATTATTAAGCATTTGAACATTTTTGACTGAGGTAATGATAAACAATAGTTGCTGTGAATCCTTTTTAGGACTCTGAGATCATTTCAACGATATACACAGCACGTCCAAGCATCACTGATACCATTCTGCAGATATTATGGAAGGCCTATTGGTGCTTAAACAGAACAATTATCTATGTATGATTTTTAAATGTTTATATGTTTGTGTGAGAATTTTGCTTACTTTGAGCCATTTATCTTTTAACAATCATTTTGCAAGATGTACAGAGTACGACAACAGACGGTCTCCACAGAGAAGGAAAATCCAGCAAGAACAGTAGCTGTTTTGCCACCAAGTGTAAGTACACATCTAATAAAGTAACGTGTGCCTTTGCACAATCTTCTGAGATGATTTTTCCAGCTGCAGCTTTTTCAAAATGTAATAACCCTACGGGGTTTGGATGATAATCAAGCCATAATTAAGCTTTCTCTTTGATAACCATTAAAATGCCAGTGGTCCTGCTTGTCACAAATAACTACACAAAGATTTCATCTGCCAAAAATATAATCTGCAGCTTGCAGCAGTATCTGTCCTCATAACTGTTCCACAATGCTATAGATATGTAAAATGTGTCACCAGAAATTTTATGTTTTCAATCTTTTTTATTGACCTGAAGGAGAACAGCAAGACTAAGAGAACATGGCCACATCCAGGAGGTCTCACTCCTTTAGGAGAACCAACGGTATTCACTGTCCTGTCAGTTCATTAAATAAAATATAGGCTATATGTACTGTAAATGGAGAAAAATGTTGAGTTATAGACTATTATCAACACACGCTCCACCAGTTATGTCATTTTTATATTCTAAAAATATATTGACTTGCTTTACACTGAACTCATCATTTGGTTTTCTCAGATATACGTCAATCACCGCACCAAGAGACAGGAAAAAAGCAGGAATAACAAAAGGAAAATACGTCCCGGAAGTCAGAGCCTTTTAGTAAGCAGTGGAGTTTTACCCGTATTGACTATCCTCTGATCAGCCTGTCAGCACGCCATTTAAACATATTAATAGTAATTTTATATTAAAGAAATAGACTGACTTGCTTTACTTTAACTCGTCATTTGCCTACCTCAATTAAAGAGTAAGACCCCAGCAGACTGCCAATGTCAAGAGGGATGACGAATGAACAAGTTAAAGCATTATATGCGTTCAAGGCTCCTTCCCAGGTAACATGTTGCAACGTATTTACATAATATGAAGGGGAAAAAATGGTACTAAACAGACATTATTGTGGGTTCTCTCCTTACAGGTTCCCTGAATCAGGAAAAAAGGAATATATCACCATGTTTCATAAAGAGTGTTTCAGGCTCAGGTTATGCTTGTGATAATCATTTATATTTCTATAGCTTTTCTTTTCCACGTATATTTTGGATAAGTAATAATCTCTATGGAAAATAAAATGTATTTACTGAATTCTCCCTCGTGTGTATTTCTTATTCGCATCACTAGGGGGCAATGTTTACCCAAGAGATGAGCGCTCAAACCAGCTTGGCTTCTGTTAAAACGAAATGTTTGATATCTGTTTATCTTCATCTCTTAATTACAATAAAGCACTTGTCTTGAAATGTCACTCTTGTATTGTGTGGAAAACACTGTAGACGACGAATGGCTTTCTATAAAGTTTTAGTTGTACTGCGTTTTTTTGTGAAGGACTTGACATGTTGATACTGTCAAGCATAAACAGTCTATGTGTGTTGACAGATTCTGTGGGATAGAAACTGCATAACTATCACTCCTCTTTTGTATGTGAGTAGTTCTGCCAGTTAAATGTGCCAGAAAAGATGTTAGCCTGAAGGCATACAAAATAGTAGGCCTATGTTTTGTGCCAGGAATTTGTCAAAACACATTGGCGGTCCAAAGTAAAGAGAAAAGCAACACCCCTTCTTCCTTATCTGCATAATCCTTGATAATAACATAAAAGTGTGCACAAATTATTTTAAATAAATACTTAAAGAAACTTTACGTCAAATCAATATGTTGTGGCTGTGCATAACATTTATGTGATGTGCTCTCTGATAATCTTTTAAAAAAGACTTCAAAAGCATTTTTGTGGACAGCTGCTGGAGCCACATATTAGAACAGATACGTTCACCGAATGTTTAGGTGTGGGTGCAAAGCTCTGCATGCACGAGTCACAGTAAATAGACTCTGTTCTCACAAGAAGAGCAGACAGAAACACTACTCTGCCTTCAGGCAAAACCCTGAGTCTTTCAAGGTAAGAAAAGCATGGCATTATCAGTTTTAGAAGATTATTTCTTTTTTGTTAGAAGTTTAATATGATCCAGATGTTAGCTGCTGAATTTGCACACAGTTTGGGAGATAAGTCTTGAATAGTACTCATGCAATTACATCTAATGCGAACATTAAGATACACTGCCATGAACTGTACTAAAATGGGCATATCTGCTATTTGAAAATAATTAAAGGAACGTTTGGTTTTTAACTGATTAACGTTATATATATAATGTTCCAAATTACTGAAAATAACATGTTTGGGTTCAAGCATGACTGAAATAGCCTAACACTCATTTATAGTCTTTGAATAATTTATAGTATGATATCAAAGCTGTTTGATTTGTGAAAACATTTTTGCTGGAATGAGTGCTTAAGATTTGAATGTATACAAAATCATGGAAATACATTCATGTGACTTTTTATTTATTTGAAAAAACAACAACAACATTGCACTTCTCTGGAAGAGGGAGTGTTTAAAGAGAAACTTTAAAGTTTATGACTTGTTTAAGCAAATGTTGGATTACACAGGAAATCTGGAAAGGATTTACAATGTTTAACTGATATGCATCTCTACTTTCGGGTTTATCTGTGATTTTAAGCATGCATAGAAAAGGGCATTTGATAAAAGCGGAGAGGGAATGTTCGGAATGAAAGTGCTGTTACATGCCTGTGGCAATAAAACATCCTGTCTGGTAGCCATCTGCTTTCTCTCTGCTATTTTGGAAGAAAATAGATCAACTCCTTATCTGTAAATCTGAGAATGCTTGATCATTTCCATGTCTCTTTGCATATAAAAATCTAAAAGCTTTCAAACAAACCATTGTTTTTCTTTTCAGAGCTTTAGAAGAAGAATGGAGACCTCAGAGGAACACTATTACGACTACCCTGAGTATGAAAACTACAGCTCCAACTGTGACTATCAAACCATCTGTGAGAAGGGCGACGTGCGCTCCTTCGTGAGGATCTTCCTCCCAGCTGTTCTTGTGTTATCTCTAGTGATTGGTTTAGCAGGCAACGCTCTGGTTGTGGCGGTGTATGCATACTGCAAGCAACTGAAAATGATGACTGACACATTTATACTTCACCTGGCTGTGGCAGACCTGTTGCTGCTCCTAACGTTGCCCTTCTGGGCTGCCGATGCTATCCATGGCTGGGAACTCGGGGTCACCGTCTGTAAACTCGTATCTGCCCTCTACACCATTAACTTCACCTGTAGCATGATGCTGCTGGCCCACATCAGCATGGATCAGTACTTGGCTTTGACACCAGGAGCCAGAAGCACAGGCATTACGCGTGCTTTTCAAAAGAAGCATTGTAAAAAACTCTGTTTGGTGTCAAAAAACCCATTGCGTTTTTTCTTGGCATCCCTGATTTGGTATTTTCAACGGCCAGAGAGCTTCCTCATAAAAAAAGCTGCATCGCCATGTATCCATCGGACATGGCTCTCAAGGCTAAAGCTAGTTTGGAAGTGGTGGAGGTCGTAATAGGCTTCTTGCTACCTTGAAGTTGATGTTGTTCTGCTACACCTTTGTAGGCCGAGCCCTACTGAAGCTCCCTCAGGAGAGGAGATGGAGGAAGTGGAGGTCCCTCCGTGTGCTGTTGGTGATGGTGGGAGTCTTTGTGGTCACACAGCTGCCCTACAACGTGGTCAAGTTCTGCCGGGCCATGGACATCATGTACACATTTGTGACTCACTGTGGGGTTAGTAAAGAGCTGGACAGGGCTACTTGGGTCACCGAGAGTCTGGCACTGACACACTGCTGTCTGAATCCTGTTCTGTACACTTTCATCGGTTCCTCCTTCAGACAGCATGTATTGAAGTGTGCCAAAGACTTTGGAGACAGGGGGAGGAGGTTGGCACGTGTGGGAGAGCAACAAGAAGTGGATATCTCCTTGAATTCTCATTCACAGTCCCAAGAGACCAGCACTATTTCCATTTGAGCAAACTAGAGTAGATGTTTACCAGTCTGTGGAGTTTTGCACCATCTGCCCCTTTGCAAAATATGTACACACAAAGTGATAGCGCAGGGATTTATTTCTTAGTCAAGACATAAGGCAGTATTTTTACCAGAAGAGTAAAATTCAAATTGAAGTAAAAGCTGAGATGCAAAATGTTGATAGTTGCGTTTGTACAAAGTCCCTTTTCTATAGTCTTTGGTCAATATGAAACAAACGGAAAAAGAACAAGTCCGCGAAGTGATACGAGAGATATGTAAATAGCGCCGGACTACTAGCGGACTGATGGTGAGTTCAAGTCCTACTTTACGCATAACTTTGGTTGAAGCAAGATGGCAAGATGGCCATGGCTTTTTTTTTTTTTTTTTTTGCTGCATTATTCAACAAGATTTTACCTGTACATCTACAAAATGATTAATAGAGAAGAGTTTCCACTCGTAGGCTAAATGACTTTTGTGGTGCATAATATATACTGTATATATATATATATATATATATATATCAGTGGCGGGCCGTGCATTTTACACCTAGGCCTTCAGTGGCGTCCTACATGAATTAATCCATCTCTTCATACCATCATAAGGATGCCACGGCTATAGAAACCATAAATATTACACAGTAATGCAGTATAACAGGGCACTACATAACAGACAGGTATCTTATGTAGCGAGAATGAATGCCATTACTAAAGAAAGAAACCCAATTAACAATTGCGCAACACATCATAGCAGAAGCATTAACCTAACAAAATGACACAAATACAGTCCATCCGATGTTCTTACAGACATTTATTAACACAAACGCATTTATACCTTACAGATAGCATTGGTATAAAACAAATAAGGTGATTACATGTGTTTTAAAGTTGACCTAACAATTTAATGTTCTCTTACTGCTTTATTTCGTCT